TCCCGGGACCTGCGAGATAGGATGATGCCCTACCACACCGGGGAGAAGCCGTGGGAACCCGATCCTGGTGAGAAGGGGAGAGTGGGAGAGGAAGGTGGAGAGGAGGAGGAAGGGAGAGAGGGTAAGGGGAAGAGTGGGAGAGAAGGAGAAGGGGCACTGGGAGAGGAAGAGACGGAGAGGGAAGGAGGGAAAAGGGGTGAGGGAGAGAGAGGCAGAAGGGGCGAGAGGGAGAGAGGGGAGAAAGGGTAAGGGAAGAGGGGAGAGGGGTTAAGGGGAAGAGTGGGTGAAGTGGGAGGGAGAGTGGGTGAGGGGAGAGTAATTGGGAGGAGTGGAGAGGAGGAGGGACAAGGGAGAGAGGGAGAGGGCGAGGGTGGCGGGAGAGTCCTCCAAAGTCCAGCGCTTCCTCCTGACCCCGAACATCTTTTTGGGGATAACAAATTCCTTTAAGGATGATGCATGAAGGATGGAGGCCTCTCCTTGAGAATCTTCGTTCTTAGGAGCATTTTGCGGGAACTAATATTAAGGAATATTAAGTTAGATGTGTCTTTGTTTATTGTATCTGGATGATATGATACATAATACATCATCTCCATATCACTGTGGCTAAAAGTTGTAAAGTTCTAACACGTTTTTTTCATTCCTTCTTTTCTTTATTATTCTTTCTCTTTTCTGTTCAATATTCTACTTTTCTTTTTCTTTATGTTTTCTTCTTTTTCTTCTTCTTCTCCTTTTCTTCTTATTATTATTTTATTTTTATTTATATATTATTATTTTATCTTCATTTCCTCATCTTCTTCGTCTTCTTCTTCTTCATCTTCTGTTTTTCCTGTTTTTCACTTCTCTTCTTCACCTTTCTTTTCTCTTTTCCTTCCCCCTCTTCCCAGAGAGCGACCAGGCCAAGCTGCCCTTCCCCCCGTGGGTGTGTCAGCCCTACGTGCGCATCCCCCCCGAGGAGCACCTCAAGAAGATCAAGGAGAGCCAGCGGAAGGCGCAGGAGAAGCGGCAGCAGGAGGAGACGGAGGAGGACAGGTGGGTCTCGAGGTTGACCTTGAGGAGGAGGTCGAGTTTTTGGATAGGAAGATTTAAAAAAAAATCTTTGTAGGAGTTTTTTATGTTATTTTATTTATTTAGTAATTTAGTAAAAGTAATTTGATCATACCGATATAGGTTTTAATCTTATTATATATACTGTACGTTATGAAGGGTAGTAGTCATCCCAAGGCAGTGATAAAAGCGAATATCAAGTCAGACACAAAATGATTAAGCGAGAATCAGACCTCAATTACTGTACATTTAAGTAAGAATTAGATCTGAAGTAATCTACATTTAAGTAAGAAACACCGAGAATTAGACATGCATTCCTGCACATTTAAAGTAAGAAACAGCGACCATAAAAGAACATAGAATAAGCAAACTCATTCCGAACATCGCATAACATTCCCCGGTCCCCTCCCCCACCCCTCCCCTCCCTCCTGCAGCGAAGGGAGCGGCGGCGGCGGCGCGGCGGGACCGGCGAAGGAGGCAAGAGGCCCATCGGGGAGGACGCCGTGGAGGCCGACCTGTCCAAGAAGAAGAAGAAGAAGATGAGCAGGAACCCGAGGAAGTCCTTCGACCCCCCGGGGGACATCTACGAGAAGTGCGTCTGCAGGAACCCGAAGGTAAGGGGGACAAGGGTTTCTGCGGGTGGGGTTGGGGGTATTTTCGATTTTTTTCTCTTTTTTTGTGTGTGTGTGTGTGTGTGTGTGTGTGTGTGTGTGTGTGTGTGTGTGTGTGTGTGTGTGTGTGTGTGTGTGTGTGTGTGTTGTGTGTGTGTGTGTGAGTGAGTGAGTGAGTGAGACAGACAGACAGACAGACAGACAGACAGACAGACAGACAGACAGACAGACAGACAGACAGACAGAGAAAATGGTAGAGCCCAACAGAACATTCGATCTAGGATTTTTATTCGAAATGGAAAAACACAGCGAACGTTAACAGATGAAATACTGACAGTTATGCTCAGATTCAACATACATTTTCAAAAAGATACACATTCTTCCCATTGTCGTTATAGATGTTGCAGATCTATTTTGAATATATGTAAGGGAGGATTGCAAAGTCATCCAACAAAGTCTATACAATACGCTTACAGAATAGAAGCTCAGATCATATCTTTTATTAAATGCTGTGATATCCTTGGCCCGTGAGATATGCATTGTTTATTCATTTCTGAAATGCCAGGTTCATGTTCGTAAATAAACTAGAGTCTCTTTTTTTTTTTACACTGCTTCGAATATACCATAAATCTTCCGCTTGTATGTCTATTGAACACATCATTACACTTTTGATATTTTACGGAAGCTTATTCTAAACTCGTGTATCGGAAGTTTTCGTTTTTTTTTCTCCTTAAAGGTATGGTTTTGTTAGATTAATTGCAGTGCAGCTGAGCGGGGGATCTGCGCTGCCAAGAGGATTAAACTGCTTTGGAAAGAGTGCTGTTCGATTGTGTCTGAGATGTGTTAAAGGGATAGTGGAAGATGTGTTGGGAGGATCGGCAGGTTTTGAGAGTCTCTTGTTTATTGCACACGCACACACACCCGCTCGCTCACTCACTCATTCACACTCACTCACACTCGCTCACACACTCACACCTCACTCACTCTCACTCACTCACTCACTCACTCACTCATCATCACTCATGTTCACACTCACTCACTCACACTCACACTCACTCACTCACTACTCACTCACTCACTCATCACTCACTCATCACACTCATCACTCATTCATTCATTCACTCATTCTCTCACTCACCCACTCATTCATTCACTCGCTCTCACTCTCACTCACACTCAGACACACACACACACACACACAGCAGCACATGATTCGCGGACAGGTGTTCACAGGTGAGTTCCGGGGCAGGTGCGAGAGTAGGTGTCGCGGGTTCATCTTTAAGACGGGCGGCGGTGTGAGGGCGCCGTCAGTAGCCCGTGGGCGGTAAGAATGTTCAGGTGATGATGATGGCGGCAGTTCACCTCGGCAGCGCCTTCCTCTCGTGTCTCTTTCTCTTTCTTTCTTTCTTCTCTCGCTCTTTTTAATCTCTCTCTTTATCTTTCTTTTCTTTTTTCCTCTCTCTTTATCTTTCCATCTTCTCTTTTCTTCTCTTCTCTCTCTCTCTCTCTCTCTCTCTCTTCTCTCTCTCTCTCTCTCTCTTCTCTCTCTCTCTCTCTCTCTCTCTCTCTCTCTCTCTCTCTCTCGCTCTCTCGTTCTTGCTCTTTCTCGTTCTTCTGTCTATCTATATATCTAATTATCTCACTCTCTATCTATTTCACTCCCCTCTTTTTCTTCTCTTTCTACCCTCACACCCACCTTCTCCTCTCTTCGGCTCCTCTCTTTCAATCTATCGTCTATCAATTTCTCTCTTCTCTCTCTCTCTCTTCTCTCTCTCTCTCTCTCTCTCTCTCTTCGTCTCTCTCTCTCTTCTCTCTCTCGTCTCTCTCTCTCTTCTCTCTCTCTCTCTCTCTCTCTCTCTCTCTCGCTCTCTTTATCTATCTGTCTATCAATCTATCTAGTTATCTCTCTCTCTTCTCTCTCCCTCCTCGTCCCTTCCGCACTTCCCTTCCCTTCCCCCCCCTGTCTTTCGCCCTCAGGCCCTTCATTTGTCACGTATTGATCCCTTTGTCTTATCTTCTTCCTCCTTTTTCATTATGTTATTCCCTCGCCTCCATTCATCAGCTCCATCCGCTCTCCCGCCGAGGCATTCGCGGGTGTCCTTAATCCCCTTTTCCTCTTTTCTCCATTTCCTTTACTTCCTCTTTCCTTCTCCTTCTCCCTCTTTTTCCTTTCTCTTTCCCTCTTTCGATTTCTGTCCTTTTCTATTCCTATTCCTCCATTCGCTTCCCCTCTTTCTCTTCCCGTTCCTCGGTCACATTCTCCTTCTCCTCTTCCTTTCACTTCCCCTACCTCTTCCCCCTCTCCCCTCCCCTTCCCTTCCCTTTTATTGCTCGCCCTTAACTCTCCCCCAAATCTGTCGAAAATTATACCTTGCAAGGGCAATAATACACGGTAGGAAAGGGTTCCTCGACATCAGTATGGTCCAAAGAAGCTCAAAGGAAGCGATCCGTAGCAGGTGGCTGTCATCTTCATTCAGAGGATTAAGGTCGTGTGATTCCTCTTCCTCCTTCGCCACGGGTCGGTAGGGCTCGCCACTTCTCCGAGGGGACACGGGCGTTTAAGTCTCCTGCTCGCAACAGCTGATTGGAGAGGGAGGGAAGGGAGGGGTGGGTGGGGAGGGGAGGGGGGGAGGGGGGGGGTGGGGGGTGGGTGGGAGGGGAAAGAGGAGAGAGAGAGGGGTTAGGCAGGGTAGAGAAAGAGAGAGAGGAGAGAAAGAGAAAGAATGAGAGAGAGAGAGCGAGCGAGCAAGAGGAAGCAGTTATACTCCATACTCAAAAATATATAATAAAGTAAGACTACCACCAAGCCTCATTTCCTCTCCCCAGGGCGGGCGCTGCGTACACAACATGTGCCGAGCCTGCTGCCGCGTGAAGTGCTACACGGAGGGCCTCGACTGCCCCGGCCACCGCATCCTCGTCAAAACCAAGCGAGAGAAAGCCGCCATCTACTACGGTCAGCTGGCGAAGCTCAAGGAGGAGGAGGAGAAGCTGCAGCAGGAGGAGGCCTCAGGCCGATCTGACGAAGTACAAAAGGAATGTGAGAAGAACGGCGTCGTTAGGAAGGAGGGCGAGGTAGAAGAAGAAGGAGGAGGAGGAAGAGGGAAGAAGGAGAACGCGGCGGAGATAGAAAACGGGTTCGAGAATGGGAATAAGAAAGAAAACGGGAGTTTCGCCCCCGAGGCATCAAAGAAAACGGAGGCGGAAGGCATGTCGAAGCACCAACCACTCCAGAATCTACCTCAAGAAGCTCAAGAAGTTCAAAGCAATACATGCAACACTTGACATAATGGGAAGTACATGTAAAATAAAATAAAATGTTTCTTTGCAATAAACTTTTTAATATTTTATATTCGTTTCTATTTTCATATTTTAAGGGATGAGAATATATTTTATGAAGTATGTGTGTTTTATTTATTTATATATTTATTTTTTGTTGAATTAACAAAATGCTCAAGACGAAAATAATGTCATTATTATGCAGTTATTAAAGTCTCGCAATTATACTAAAAGAAATTACCCCATTTCTTTCCAAATAATTTTCCTTGACAAATATAGTTATGAATATTTCAGTCAACACATTATTATCATTATTATTATTATATTATTTGTTATTTCATTATTGTTATTATTGATTTTATTGTATTATTTCTATTATTGTTTATTATTATTATTATTATTATTATTATCATTATTTATTATTTTATATATCATTATCATATATATATCATATTATCTATTATAAACTATTACTATTGCTATTACTTTATGATTATTAATTATTATTTATTATTATTATTATTATTATTATTATTATTATTATTATATTACCATTGTTATTTAGCATTAGCATTATTGTTATTATTACTATTATTATATTGTAATATTATTTTATCATTATTCTATTATTATCATATTTATTATCATTATCATTATTATTACTACTACTACCACTATTACTGCTACAGTAACATCATGTTCATAATTAACTATTATCCTTCACTTTCATTTTTAATATTTTCGGTATGAATATAATTACCACCATCAGTATCATTATTATGAAGTCATTTTAATTACCATTAATTTTATAATGTTGCTATCATATTTACCACCGAAAAAGTTACGTATATCTGCATAAAATCATTTCCTCAGACATGACCTTATGATATTAAAACTGAAAAAAAGTAATTTCCTTGTTAATACAATGTTTTTTTTTACAACCACCACTCAGCTATTTAATGTGATATAACAACATAACGGAATTATAAATTATATTTTGAATAACTCCTATCACACTATTTCTCTTTCTCTCCTATTTCATTTTTTTCCCTACTTCTTATATTTTTATACTCCTATGAACACTCTTTCTCTTCCTCAATTTTCCTACTTCCTTCCCCAGTCTTCTCTCCTTTATCACACCTTTCTCTTCCCTCTATTTCATTTTTTTTCCTACTCCCTTCCTTCCCATCTCTTTCTTATCAACTCTCATTTGGGACTTCTATTTTCCCTTCCTTCTTCCCATTTCATATTTTTCCCTATCTTCCTATTCCTTCCTTCCCATCTCTTCTCCTATCACACTTCTCTTCCTCTCTCCTATTTCATATTTTTCCCTACTTCCTATTCCTTCCCATCTCATCTCCCTTTTCCGTTGGGAGATACACAAACAAACGCAAAATGACACTCATTATACCCCCTCCCCTCCCCCCCCAGCTGCTCTAATGAGACGGGGGAAACTACCATTACTGTCGAGTGTTAATGAGAGTCTGGCGATGAACTGCACTTTTCTCGGGTTCTCTTTCTCTCTCTTTTCGTCTGCTTAATTCTCTCTTCTCGAATGAAAAAAAAGAAAATGTACGGGTAGGTCTGTGTTTGTTTTTTTGTTTTTTTTTGGCTTTTTTGTGTGTGGTTTGTATTTTTCGTTTCGTGTTATATTACTTTTTTCGTTTTTTTTGTCTCGTCGTGTTATTTCGTTTGGTTTGCTTCTAGCTATCTCTAATTCTCGCTCTCGCACTCTTCCTGTTTAGTCTATCTAAGTTCTCTCCTCTCTCTTCTCTCCTCTCCTCTCCTCTTTCCCTCTCCCTTTCCCTCCCCCTCCCCTCCCCTCCCCCTCCTCTACCTTCACCTCCCTCTCCCTCCCCTCCCTCTCTCTCTCTCTCCTCTCCCTCTCTCTCCTCTCTCTTGTCCTCTTTCTTCCTCTCCCTCCTCTCACCTCTCTCCTTCCCTCTGTCTCTCTCTCCTCTCACATATCTTACCTCTTTCCTCCTCCCTTGCCTCCCACTTCTCAGCTTTTATTCTGAGGTTCGCACCGCACGTGTGTGAAACGTTGCTCCTCAGTGAGTTCTCGAGATGGTTGGTTATTAAATGAGTCAGGGTGAGTGCTGCGTGAAAAAGAGTGTAAAGATGTGTGAGTTGTGTGTGAAGAAGTGGTAAAGTGTGGATTTTGTGTGTGAAAAAGTGTAGTGTGTGAGTCAGTGAGTGAGAATGTAAGTGTGAGTGCGTGAGTAAAAAGTGTAAAGTGTGAGTGGCGTGAGGTGAAAAGTTGTAAATGTGTGGGTGCGTGAGTGAAAAAATAGTTGGAAGCGCGTTTGAGTGGTGAAGTGAAAAAGTGAAGAGTTGAGTGAAGAAAGTGGAAAGTGTTGAGTGAGTGAAAGTTGAAAGTGGAAACGTGAGTGAAAAAGTGGAAAGTGTGAGTGCATGAGTGAAAAAGTGGGAAAGGTGAGTAGCGGTGAGTGAAAGTGAAAGTGGAGTGCGTGAGGAAAAAGTGGTAAGATGTGGTGAGTGCGCGAGTGAAAAAGTGGAACGTGTGAGGCGAGAATAAAAAAAAGCGTAAAGTGTGAGTGAAAAAATGGAAAGTGTGAGTGCGGAGTGAAAAAAGTGAAAGTGTCGGAGTGCGTGAGTGAAAAAGTGGAAAGTGTGAGTGCGTGAATGAAAAAACGTAAAGTGTGAGTGAAAAAGTGGAATGTGTGATGCTGAGTGAGAATAGGTGTAGAATGTAGTCATGAGTAAAAATAGAAAGGGAGTGGAAAAAATATAAAATGTGGATGCGTTGAGTGAAAAAGTGAAAGAGTTATGGTGAATGAAATATTAAGTGTAAAGTGTGAAGTGCGTGAGGGAAAAAGAATGTAAGTGTCGGAATGAGTGAAAAAGGGGAATGTGTGAGGCGTGAGTGAAATAAAGTGTAGAAGGAGTGGTGAGTGAAATTAAGTGTAAAGTGTGAGTCATGGGTGAAAAAAGTGTAGAGTGTGAGTGGCTGATGAAAGTGTACAGTAATGGTAGTGAGTGAAAAGTGTAAAAGTGTGAGTGCGGAGTGAAAAAATAGTGTAAAGTGAGTGCGTGAGTGAAAAAAAGTGTAAAGTGTGGGTGCGTGAGTGAAAAAAAGTGAAAAGTGTTAGTGCGTGTGAAAGTAAGTTGTAAAGTGTGAGTGCGTGAGTGAAAAAAAATGTAAAAAGTGTTCGCCGGTGTGAGTGAAAAAGTGTGAAAATGTGGATGTCGCGTGTGAAAAAAAGTGTAATGTGAGTGCGGTGAGTGAAAAAGTGTAAAATGTGAGCTTGAGGAAAAAAGTGTAGGTGAAGTAGCGTGAGTGAAGTGTAAAAGTGAATGCGTGATGAAAAAAAATGTAAAGTGTATCGCCCGCGTGAGTGAAAAAAAGTGTAAGGTGTTGCTTGCGTGAGTGAAAAGAAAAATGTAAAGTGTTCATCGCGTGGATAATGAAAAAGAGTGTAAAGTGTGAGAGCGAGTGTGCACTTGGATGCACTTCACTCACTTGGCTTGGAGCGGAGAAGCGGTTTTAAGTCCAATTGGCTATATTGCAAGATACTGTAGAATCGTGGTGCATACATTGAATGTGCTGCGATAAAACGGCGGCCTTTGGAGGTTTGAGAAAGCGATTTCCTGTATGAATTTTGATCGACATTCCATGAGTGCATTTAACTCCTTTCGCTTTCTGTCCTTTTTTTTCTTCTTTTTTGTTTGCATGTTTCGTTGTGTTTTGTGTTGTTGGTTTTCGTATTTCTGTTGTGGTCTTTGTTCTTTTAGAGTTTTTGTTTTGTGTTTATTTGCTCTGTTTATTCTTTTTTTTGCCGTGTATTTTTGGATTTTTTTTTCTTCTCTCTTGTTTTTTCCCAACTCCCCCCTCCTATTACTCTCGCCTCTCCTGCTCTCTTCTCTCCCCCCCTCTCTCCTTCTCGCCCACCCCCATATCCCCTTCTCCTCCTCTCTGTCTCTCTTCCATCTCTCTCTCTTTATCTTTCCCTCTCTCTCTCCTCTCTCTTCTCTTCTTCCTTCTCTCTCTATCTCTCTCTCTCTCTCTCTGTCTTCCCCTCTCTCGCGTCTCTCTTGTCCCTTCCCTCTCTCCCTCTCTTTCTCTCTCTCCATCTCTTCCTCTCTCCCCTCTCCTCTCCTCTCCCTCTTTCTCCTCCTCTCTCTCTCTCCTTCTTCTTCTCAGCTCTCTCTCTCTAGTCTTCCCTCTCGTTTCCTCGCTTCTCGTCTCTCTCTCGTCTTCTCTCTTTCTCTCTGTCCTCTCTCTCTCTGTTTCTTCTCTCTCGCTTCTCTGTCTCTCCTCTCGTTCTCTTCTTCCTCTCTCGGCTCGTCTCTCTCGTTCTCACCCTTCGTCTCTCTCTCTCTCTTCTTCAGTCCTTGCTTCTTTCTCTTCGCCGAAATGAATAAAAAAGTAAACAAACCAACACATGTGGGACCAGAGAAGTCGGACCTTTAAACCCGAAGGAAGGATTTAAACCCAGCATCCGAAAGTGTCAAATACAGAGATTGTAGAGCAGGCGAGGCAGTCTGTTGGGTTGAATTTCTCTTTATTTCGTTCATCTTATCTATTTTCATGAGTTATTATTTATTATTTTATTTTATTTTTTGTTGTTTTGAATTTTTATTGTCATATTTTATGTATTTTTAATAATATGGCTATTCAACTGTTTTATCGTATTGGTTATGATATTGTTTTGTTTACTACAATCATAAATTGCGGAATTCACGGTCGAGCAACGATTGGCCAAGATGGAACAATGCGAATGGGAAGATATAGAAAGAAAACCACATGTATGGGAGGAAGGCCTGTTCTGCTATATAACAATGTCTAAGAGCAACAATTGAAGGCGCGAATGTGGGCTTTCGGCATTTTCGGTGGTGGTTTTTTTCTTTCTTTCGTTGTTCCATTTGCCATCATACAAGGAGTCGCTATATTATGGCGATTAGTTTTTGTTGAATTTTAATCGATTGTATTGTGATCATTATTATGTATCAATCAGTAGTGGTAGTAAACAAAGATTACGACAGAGCAGCAGCAGTAGTAATAGTAGTAGTAGTAGTACTACTACTAGTAAGCTAGTAGGTAGTAG